GAGCCCCTGCTGGTATACTTGGCCGTATCCGAGGTCGCCGTTAGCGCAGTCCTAGTTCGTGAAAACGAAGGTACGCAATCTCCTATTTACTATATTAGCAAAACCTTAGTGGACGCCGAAACACGGTATCCACACCTTGAAAAATTAGCTTTGGCATTGGTCGTAGCTTCACGGAAGCTCCGACCCTATTTCCAATGCCACCCCATAAAAGTAGTGACAACCTTCCCCTTGAGAAGTATCCTACACAAGCCTGAGTTATCAGGCAGACTCGCCAGATGGGCCATAGAGCTCGGTGAGCACGATATCTCATATCATCCAAGAAACGCCATCAAGTCGCAAGTACTTGCCGACTTCATAGCCAATTTCAGCGCAGAGATACTACCAGAGGCGGAACTGGAGGCACGTCGTGCCCCCTCCAACGCCGACCTATGGACTCTTTACACTGATGGCGCCGCTAACGCCTTGGGATCTGGACTGGGACTCGTTCTCGAGGTCCCCACGGGCTAAACAATTCGCCAGTCCATACGATGCCCCGAGATGACTAACAACGAAGCCGAGTACGAGGCTGTTATTGCAGGTTTGAAACTAGCAATCAAGTATGGAGCTCGACGACTCGTTCTCCATTGCGACTCTCAACTCGTGGTGAACCAGGTCAACGGGACTTACCAAATCAAGGAGCAGAGGTTACAAAAATACCGGTCAGAAATTCACAGGTTAATAACCGAGTTCGACGAGTGCCGCTTCGAACAAGTTCCGAGAGCACGGAACGTTGAAGCAGACGGCCTAGCGAAACTGGCCGCAGCCACTAAAAACTTCAACAAAGAAAGCTGTCACACCTCCTTTTTTCTTACTACACCCCCCGGAAGGGGTATAATAAAGGGAGTTATTTCCAACTTGAAGTGACAATCGAAACGGGATTTATTTAATTAAAAATCAGAGTCGCCACTTGGGAGATTTATGGTGTCCCAAGTCACCGGTTTTAATCCCGAATCGAGGAAAAGAATGACTCTGTTATTATAGTCTGCGAACCAGAAATCCGAGTAAGGAATTCTGTTAACCTGGGAGAAGGTGTTTGACACTCCCGAGTTCCGTGGTTCTAGCACGGTCGCTTTGATAATACTTGGCTTATGAAATTATTTAATTACTGATTTTAAAACCTATGTGCTTTTGCTTCTTTCACCACTTTTAAATAAGAAAAATTATCTTGAAACGAGTTACGCATACGTATACCCGCTTGTTTGGCGCGTCAAAAATCATGTCACGCGAACGTGTCCACAATTAATAACGCTTTATTATTATTAAGAAAATTTGGGCCAAAGTTGCGCGAACGCATACTCCGGTTTTGTTTTTAGAAGCGTAATTGTGTTACGCGGACGTATACACAATCACACTAGTATTTTAAAACGGCCTTAAAGGATATTCTACGAAATATTTAGTCATTCTTACATCTAGGTTATGAAATTAATGCGAGAGCTATATGTGATTTAATAGTGAATTAGCAATCCCTCAAACTACTAAAAATTAATAGAGCTATATCCATTATTATTAAGCAAAATATATTTATCGAATGATTGCACGCGAACCGGCCCATCCTAACTCCTAATAATTAAGGATATGGTCATTGTTACCTTGCAAACGTTATACCAACCACACCAACTTCGTTGCTTCTTAAGCGGCACTGAAGTCTTGCTACGAAAATTTGTCCAATTATATACGCAAAGAGCCATCCTTTTTTTTTTTTCCGCATTATTATTTTTTTTTTTTAAAGGGTAAATGTTGAAGCAGCGGGCTCGCACCCAACTATCGTTTACGTAGTCTAATTAATTAATCAGCTAGATGTTGATTACAGGGTTCATTTTCAAGTTACCTGGAATGGCTACATGAGGAAAACATAACTTCATATGAAAAAGACTTGAATTATTACCAGCAAACTAATGGTCCACCAAAGAAAAGGCCTAGGTTCGTTGAAGACTTCAGAATTAGGCTTCTCGATTGAGCCCAAAATTCAGAAGCCTCTGCGGTAATGAGCTCAATATCGAACTCTTACAAAACATTGAACAAATAAGTTGCAAAGGGAGCGAAAGAAGCCAACAACTAGACTAATGCATAAACCCCCAAAAATATACTCAGCAAACGTGAATTTACCCAGTTTCTACAATGTAGATAAGCTAGTGAATTAACAATCTAGACTTAATCAAATATACGCAACTAGTCCAATATCTACTCTTGCAGATTAATTACATACTGATCTGGTCATTAAGTCAGGAGTTCTCTAGCAAGCCAAATACTAGTCAATTTTAGAAAAAACAAAAAAACCTCAAACAAATAGCTTATACCAATCATAAGGATCACTGACAGTAAGCATAGCACTAAGCATCCCATAATAGAATTTAATTTCCCAAACCAAAATAATTCCCTGATTCTTTGATGCTTGCTATCCTTACATAGCCTCTCAATGTAACCATGTTACCGAAAACTCACAACAAATACACAGTAGTGCTCCTATTACATAACAGTCTTATAGAACCTCGAATGTGTCACAGTACAAAGATAAGTAAGTATATCTAATTTCAGCATCCAATCGGACCTAGGGTGGTTTTTCTATATCTCTAAGAAAATCCTTAGCTATATTCTTAACGAATTCAACAGCCAAAAAACACCATTACACTAAACTACATGACTTGACTTTCATTACGAAACCTCGTTAACTAGATGTAATTAAGTACAAATTGCTAATAACTGATAATGTAATGGAGAGGTTAAAACGGAAAATAACAGGAGAAGAGCCAAAAGTAGCAGCAACTATCTGGCGCAAGTCTCACCGGGGCTTCATATATGTATCTATCTGTTTCATAGGTGTTATTCTATAGTGGAGTAAAAGATACCGGGGAAAAGAAGAAACAGAGGAGAAGGGAGGTGCAGGGGCGGGGGCAGCACGGAGGAGGAAAGCCAAGCCTCACACAAACCAGGAGGGAAAGGGAAACCAAGAACGGAAGGTGCAGAGGGGCTATCTCTCTATATGTAATGTCTCTATATGTGCTATATTTTTTTTATCTATCTGTCTCTATTGGACGCAGAGTCCACCACAGGGACCTCAACCAGGGTGAGGAGGGAAAGGAGAAAAGAAAAAGAAGGCACGGAAACAGGAAACGGGGGATCCAGGGGGGGAAAGGGCGGAATGACCAAGGCTAAGGAGCGTTATCGGGGAAAAACGGGCGAAAAGAGGAAAAGCGAAGCGCCGGGGGGGCGCGAAAGGGTAGCCCTCCCTAACCGGCCTGCGAAGGCAAAATGGTGCCGGGAGAGGCAAGCAAAGAGGGGCAGCGCGTCTATGTATGGTGGGGGACCCCGGGCCCGGTAAACGGTGCAGGGGAGCGGAGGGGACCCTATTATATGTATTGGCGGGATCGACCCAAGGGGACCGTTGTTTTGTATTGAGGGCGTAAATGCAAAAAAGGGACCCGCACGAGAAGCGTGGCCCAGGCGGGGGGAAAGGGCGCGAACCGGGCACCGACCAAATGACCCGTTGTTTTATTCCCGAAGGGGACCTGGTGCAGAACCATAAAAAGGGGGCAAAATATTTGTGACCCAAGAACAACGAAAACCAAAGGGGTGCGGTGGCGGCGCGGGCAGGGGGCAGAGAGAGCCCACGCTGCCAAGCACACAAGGGGTCCAAAGAGAGGGAGAAGCCCAGCAAAATGTTTATCTGTATCTATCTGATAAGGGGCGGGAAACAAACGAAAGAAAACCGAGGCGAAAGGACGGGTAAAGAAGGGGACCGGGACGAAATTGGAATTATAAGTGAATATGAGGTGTAAGGAAAAGAGTGTAGGACCGAACAGGCAGGATAAAGGGGCGGAAAACGAGAGAAAACCAGGGGAACCAGGAAATAGAAATGAAGGTTATGTGGAAAGAGAAAAAGAAACAAAAAAGAAAAACAGGAGGAAAAGAGAAAAGAAGAAAAAAAACAAAAAGACCGAAACGGAAACGCAGGGAGGGAAAGGAAGGGAGAGAACCGGCGGGGAAGCGGCAAGGCCGGGAGTCAAGCCGAGGTTAAAGCACGGGCTGGGGCAACAAAAAGACGCGCCGAAAGAAACCGCAGAACGAACCGAGGACGCGGGACGCTAAGACGGCCCAAGCGGCAAGACGGCGAAGGGGAGGGGGGGATAAGAGGCAAGAGTCGAGGGGCGGCGGAGGGAGGCGAAGAAACCAACGGGCGGAAGGCGGAGGGGGGGAGGGGGGGCACGGGGGAGCGAGGGCGGGGGGAAAAGGGGGGGCGCCGCCACCCCCAAGGCGGCGGGGAAAGGGGGCGGCTGGCGAAGTAGCGGGTGGGGCGGCGGGAGTTGAGAGGGGGAAGGAAGGCGCCGACGTAGAGGGGAAGGGGTGCAGGGGGAGACCGGCAGACACGTAAGGGAGGAAAGGACCCTGTATGGGCGCGACCGTGTAGAGCAACAAGAGCCGCGACGGTGCCAGAGGAGGCAAAGCCAAAACGGGGCGGGGGGGCGTTGCCACGTAGAACGGAGCGTGGAAAGGGAACGGGGGGGCCTGGGGACCGGAGGGGAAAGGTGGAAAAGGGTGTGGGCGAGAGAAGTGCGAAGGGGCCCAAAAGCGGACGCCAAAACCGGGGCATCGGGGTGCAAGGGGCGTACAGGTCGCGCGGGTGGGGTCGGGGGGGGGAAAGAGGGCGGCGGAATGGAAAAGCGAACTGGAGGGGAAACGGAAGGAAACGAAAACAACCGACAGGAGAAGGAGCCAAGGAACACAGAAACAAGGAAAGAAAAAAAGGACGCAAAGGAAAAAAAAGGAAAGCAAAGAGGGGCAAAAGGACGAGGGGGGGGGAGGGGCCGGGGAGAAAACAACGAAGGACGAAACAAGGAGAAAAAGGCAAAAAGGAAACGCCGAAAGGACAGGCAACACCAGGGGGGGGCGGAGGGGCCGACGAATGAAAAGGCGCGAACATAAAAGACTTAACAAGGAACAGAAAGGCCACGACAAGCCACAAAATGCAAACACGGAAAGAAAGGAGGGGGGAAGGGAGGGGAGGAAGGCAGGGACGAGCAAAAAAGCACTGGGCCACAAAACGGGCGTCACCCGCCGCCATGGCAACCAGCGAGCACACGGAGTGGACGCAGCGGGGAAGGGGACGGGGGACGGGCGCAACCAGGGGAGCCGAGCGGCAGGAGGGAACAGGCCCACGCGACAAAGAAGCCAAGAGCGCCGCGGAACAGGCCGCCGAGGAGGCGCCGGATAACCAAGAGCGCGACAAAAGGATCGGGGGGCGGAGGCCCGAGCCAAGGGGCGAGGCGCCGAAGACAAACGCGACCAACGGGGCGCGAAGAGGACACGTAAGGCCAGGGCAGCGGGCCCATGACAGGGAAACCGCGCCCGCGGGGCGCGGGAGAAGACGAGCGGGCGACGGAGGGGCCCACGAGGAAGAAAGATCGCAGCGGAAGAGGGGCGCCGGGCGAACAGAGGCCAAAAGGAGGCCCAGGAGATCACCAACCCAGGAGACCACGGCACGCGGGCACCGGCCCCCAGGCCCCGGCAGCAATAAGGGGGAAGGGACAGAGGCGGTGCTCCGACCAGCGGGGACGAGGAAAGGACGAGGGCTAGGGGGTGGAGCGGACGAGGGGGCCAAAGGGGGGGAAGCAGGAGCTGCACGCCCAAAGACGCCGAACAAAAGAAGGCAGCGGCCGGCAGTAGGGAAGGCGAAGCAGCAGCGGCCGGCGGCAGCCCCCAAGGAAAGCAGCTGGCGACAACGGACGGCAAGGCAGCGGAGCCAGAAGACAAGAGAAGGCGGCGACAAAGGGCCGGAGCAAGCGCGAGACAGCCACGCCAGAGCACCCAGGCCGCCAACCGGCCAAGCAGAGGACGGCAAGGAAAACAAGACGGAAGACGAAAGAAGAAACGCGAGGAAAAGCCAAAGGGGAGGGCCCGGAGCGCGACGACCAGGAGGGGGAGGCAGACCCGAACCCGCCCAAGCCGCCACATGGGAAACACGGGACGCACGGGGCGACGGACCGACAACCACGGGGCATGAACCGGGCGAATGTGTCGGCGAACCAAAGCCGGTAAAGGGAGGCACAGACCAGCGGAGCAGAGAACGACGAGTAAACAGACTGCAAGACCGCGACGAGGCCGAGGGAAAGAAGAGAAACGGCCCACGAAGAATGGGGCGCAGAAACAACAAGGCGAAAAGATACGACAACAAGAGGAAGCAAAGAAGAACCCACCGCAAAGGGGGGACGATCGGCCGCAACAGCCAAAACAAGGGCAGCAAAAAGAACCCAAGCCGAAGGAAAACGGGCGCAACAGAACGGTAAACGAACTCCCAACAAAAGCACAGCTGGGAGCAAGGGAAAAGAGCAGGGGGCCAAGGGAGAAACGAAGGGAGGGAAAAAGGCGCCAAAACAAGGAGACAGCGTGCCACCGCAAGCGTGCCTGGTGAGCCAGGAAAGGCGGCGCCCCGAGGCGCCACGCGGGGCCCGGACCCGGGGCGGGGGCCCCAAGGGCGGGTGGCAGCGGGGAGCGTGGGGAACGAGGGCGAAGAGGGGACACCGGGAGAGAGGATGGAAAAAAGGGGAGCAGACCAGGCCCACGCCAGACGCGCCGCCCCCGCACGGCAGGACAAAGGGACGGGACGAGGGGGTGAGCGCCAATGGTAGGAACGGCGACGGCCAGCGCCAAGGTACGATAAAACGGCGACGGCACGAGCGCCAGAGGAGAATCGGCGTAGGCCAGCGCCAACCGATGCAGGAACGCGCAACGACCAGCGCCAAGGTTAAGGGAACGGCGACGGCCAGGCAAGAGGAACGGCGACGACCAGCGCCAAGGGACGGAACGGCGGATCGACCAGCGCCAAGGGAGAAAGGGCCGACGGCCAGCGCCACGGGGGGAAAAGGCGAAGGCCAAAAGGAGAGGAGGGCGAAAGCCAGCGACGCGGAGAAGGCGACCCAGCTGCGACCAGTGGACGGCAAGGAACGCGGACGACAGGCAAAGGGAGCGACAGGGCGAAGAGCCAGAACGGTGTAGTATATGTCTGTATAGGGCAGG